TCTTTTTTAAATTTACGGTCAAAACGAATATTTTCGTCTTTCCTATACTCCTGTCTTTCTACATTTAATTCAATGTTTTAAATAGATCTTTTTTTTTGTTTATTTTTTTTTTTTGATATTTTTTTTTATATTTCCACCCCCCCCCCCCCCTTTTTTTTTTACTTGTGGACTTTGCTGCTAGCTAAAGAACCAGTAAAGAAATTGATGGCAACAAAACGCTTCTAAAACCACTGCTATCTAACATGACAAATAAAATTTAAAAGAAAACAGTCAAAAAGGTAGATAATCATCTACGATAAAACCAAAGGTAATTAATAGAAGCTGTTTAAAAGTGCTGCACAATGGACTTCCTGTAGAATTATTTTGACTTCTGCATAATTTATAGTTGTAAAATCTTCCTGCAATTGTATTCTTGCACTAATGAATGTCTCCCTTCACCGACAAACACTTTTTATCAACCTGCAACGATAGGAAACTGAACTCATTTTAACTGTTTACAATACTTACTTGCTTACTAACTACAAGAGTACAAATTTTCAATGCATCAGCTTCAGTTTTCAACTCAGAAATCATGTAAACATTATCTATTATTATCATTTACTATATTCAAGCATTGCTTATACTAAACTAGCAATTTGAAAGACAAAAAAAAAAACATTACTTTGCCATAGTATATTAAAGAGGGTGTGTCACGGCTGCACGTCCCTGTTCGCTATGGCACTTGGGAAATTGCTTGTGAAAGCCCAAAACACATCTTGATGTCAAACACATTTTGCCTCCCAAGCATCGTTAAACGTTACAATTTTTTAAAAGCCACAATTGTAATCCGTTTTACTCTTCTTTAAGATTGTCCATCTGTGCCACCTTTTGTACTTGATGTGCTATTTATACTTTCTTTTCATGTTTTGAGCGGTCATTTTTATGTTTAACTCAGTTTGGTGGCAGTTCTCACTGTTTGAATTTTGAGTAAATTTCGTGACATCTTACTTCTTTGATTCAGTGTGCTGCAGTGTTCCGCATGATACAAGAAAGAGGCGTTATGTGCTACTAAAGTAAACTTAGTAACATACTTTCAATTTTGAGGTAAATGGGTTAAATGTTAAAACAACAAAACAGTCAAAATCCTATTTTCACAGGGGCACCCAACAACAGTTTCCTCTTAAATACATTGAAAACACTTTTTAGATCTCTAGGAAAGCATTCTTAGTTCCTAGGGCAACTTCAGTATTTTCGAAATTACAAGGGCTTCAGTATTATTTCACCGATAATTTCAGATGCAATTTAACTTGTTACGAATACAAGAATTTTTCTGATTCCTCTCTTCATCACATTTTTGAGTCCGAAAATTTTAGGTTTCTTTCTTCCTACGAAAAATAACCTAACCTGGGTAGTGAATTGTGAAAAATTAAACTTCAAACACTTTGTCAGATGAGCTTCGAAAATTGTACATGAATGGAACGGTCATCTAGAAGTTTTTAGCCGTCCTCAAGTATTAGAAAATTCAAGGCAATATTTGCTTCTCCAATCAGATATTTTAAAGAAAACAGTCGTTGGGTGCCCCCTGTTTACACTTTTCAAAACCAATTTTATTTTTCCTTGCAAACACCTGGTTTTAAATGCAAATCGTTATTAACAGTTTAATGGTTTGTTGATCACTGCATTTTATAATTATCTGCTAGATGTTAATTGTCCTTGTGTAAACAGGACGTTTTTCTGAAGGAGAACTTGGGCATCTAAATGAGCTTGACTTTTCAGATTTTAATAACAGATCTGTTAACTTATCGAATATAGCTTTATTCCTAAACGTCGAGTACTTAGCTACTGTACCAATGTTTCACAAATATCTACTTTTTTCGCTGTTGCAACAGGAAAATCATTCTAACATAATTCATTCCAAGGTGCAGGGGGATTAAAGGTACGCTGATATACTACAGACATAAACTGTGAATATTAATGACTGTCAAAGACAGCGGGCACTAATGATTTTCCCGGCGAGTACAAACCGACCCTTTATAAATTAAAGTTTTCTCCGGCGTTTTTAGCAGTCTTAATCATCGGCAAACATCTTTTCTTACTCTACTTAGACAAAATAAATAAAAAAATCAAAAGGACACTTTGAAATTTCGACTTAAAATCATGGATTAACCCCGTTAAAAAAATCCGATACGGCCACACCCAAAATCGACCGAACTCTTTATGAGCGTTCTTTTCGCCCTTTTAAGCCGTCTTAAACATCGTCAAACATCTTTCATTATTCTATTTAGCTAAAAAAACGATCAAAGTACAGCGATAACTGATCCGATGAACAATGTGTGTCCTGTAAGTATAGGTACTGTGTGTGGGTATCAACTTAGCGGCACTGTTCGTGACAGGCCAGTTGTCTTTTGCGGCTCTGTTGCATCTTTTCTCTATCACTGTAGGTTAACTCAACAGCAAAGACACTTACGAATGGTGTTTTTCACTTCCTGTCCGACATCTTTGATTCTCCAACAGTAAAGGACAGGATTCAGAGATGAATTTAAAAAGATGAGACAAAGGGAAACTTCACCCGCGACCATTACTTCAGTGGAATGATCTACATTTCCAAAATTCCAAAGAAATGCCATCACGATGTTAGGACCATAACAAGCAAACATAGCAAACTGTATCCAAGCTACGCTATACACTGTCTTCTTGTATCGTGCTATATTCAGTACACTTCTAACTCCGCTCAACTGTTCTGGTTGAACATGATCTCGCATTTGGGCTTGTTGATGACGGAGGGTGAAAAAAATCTTCGCGTACGAAAATGTTGACACTATTATAGAAAAAATGATAAAAGCTCGGTAGGTCCACCACGAGACAAGTTCTAACTTATCATGAAATAGGATCTGAGCCACGCAGAACAAAGAAGCGTTTGAAACAGCAATGAACCAAACACAAGCTATAAGCACACGAACTCGGCATAAAGTTACAACGTGTCTGTATCTCAGTCCCAATAAGAGAGCGAGAAGTCTGTCAACACTGATGGCAGCCGCTGTTAGGATGGATACCGCAACCAACACGCGAATGATAAAGAGATATACGTAAACTAGTTCTACGATGCGGTTACCAATATCAAGAGAGATTGTAATGTACCAAACGTAAACGTAAAGTGGGTGACCAAGAAGACCAACACAAAGATCAGTTATCGCCAGACATCGAAATAGGAGCTTCGTCGGTGGATGAATGGAGGAAACGTTTCGTAGAGCAACTAGGATTAGAACATTGCCCAGAGTTGCAAAGATGGAAAGAAAAATGTTCAGGGCTATTAAAAGTATCCCTACTCTGGGTGGTATTTCCATTGGTGTTAAAAGCCACCAATTAGGCCTAATGCAAAAGAAACGGCGATTTCAGTTCGGTTTCTTCAGCTGCAAAGCAACAAAAGATGAACTTTCTCGAACAAACCAGCTTATGAACGAAATAGCACATTTATTTTTAATGGGTCTAGACAGAAACTGGCAAGTTAAATTAAAAGATACTTAGACCCGTAATTCACCTGCTGTTGCATCAAAAGTATCATTTACGCTGGTTCGTAATATTTTTTAGACAGGTTGACTTTGCTGAGAACTAACAAAAAATATTAACTACTACATACTTCCCGAAACGTCGATTTGAGTTAACGTTCAGTTTCTTTAGCTGCAAGGCTACAGAAGACGGATGAACTTCCTCGGACAAAACAACTTGTGAACGAAACAGTTAATTTACTTGTGACAGTTCTAGACAGAAACTGGAAAGTTAAATTAAAAAGTAAACTTAGACTCCAAATTCACCTGCTGTTGCATGAAACGTATCAGTTACTCTCATAACATTTTTTAGACAGGTTGAATTGTTGAAGGCTATAAGAAATATCCAAACTCCGGATAGTATCTTCGTTGTTACAAATGTCCCATTCATGTTGTTTGTCATTGGTGTTGGTTAACATTAAGCTCTATGGAAAAGAAACGTCGATTTGAGTTAGCGTTAGGTTTCTTTAGCTGCAAAGGTAAACAAGATGAACTTCCTCGGACAAAACAGCTTGTCAACGAAATAGCAGATTTATTCAGTTAAAAATACTGTCGTTGCATCAAAAGTATCAATTAAGCCGATTCCTAATATTTTTTAGACAGGTTAACTTTACTGCTCGCTAAAGCACTATCCAAAAATATTATTACAAAATAAGATGTTATATGTACTTTGACGATGCTCATTATAAAATAGTGGTACAAGAAAAGTGGAGGTTAACAAACCACAGTGCAGGACATACGCTGTCATTTCAACTAAAACAAATTATTGAGTAGTCGTTCAGGTTGACATGGTGACTTTATTGCTTGCTATAAAGAACTAATTGAAACATTAACGTCGGGAAACGCTTCTCAGTTAACCACTTCGTTACATGTGATATGAAAGGCGAACAGAAAGTGGTCAAAACGTATATAGCCATTTCGGCTACAGCCAAAAATATTAAGTAGATGTTGAAATTTGCTTCGCAAATATAAGTATTTTGACTATTGCATTATTACAACTTCCTGCATAAACATCGGGATTCTCTGGGTAATAATAGTTATCAATTAATTTCTCCCTGTTTGGTAATGACTTTCTTCCTTAATGCTAACGTGTTTTTTGTGCAATATATTTCCGACTTTCATTATTAGCATCAACATGTAATAGGAAATGTTGTATTGGGGTCCTGAGACAACTGGAGTAAAAAATCTCATTCGTTGTCAGATAAAGCAGCTGTTCGATATAAATTAAAACGGCACATTATATCGGTGTTCAACGGTACGATAAGACTCCTGCGAGAAAATGGACTCTCAAAGTGGCTCGACTGAATTTTCAGGGCAATTTCCGAAGCACTTTAGAAAGGCGTCTACCTTTACCATTAAAATCTAAAACGGTAAGTACCCAAAAAGGGCGGAATACTAAGGCTATTTACACACTATAGTGGATTGTTTTTCGTGTTATACGGTATAGTATGAACACCTGTCGGATATGTAACTCTCCACTTGAGAGATCGGCGTAACTTCGCTTCGTTGCAGAGATCGAGCCGAAATGACCGTTCTTATGTTTGAACAGAAGCCCTGCTATCCGGTTTGGTCTTAAAGCCAGCGCAAAAACTATCTGGCATAGTGTAAACAGATCCCAAGTTAACTTATCAAATATAGCTTTATTCCTAAACGTCGAGTACTTAGCTACTGTACCAATGTTTCCAAAATATCTACTTTTTTCGCTGTTGCAAAAGGAAAATCATTCTAACATAATTCATTCTAAGGTGCAAGGGGATTATAGGTACGCTGTTATACTACAGACATGAACTGTGAATATTAATGACTGTTAAAGACAGCGCGCACTAATGATTTTCCCGGCGAGTACAAACCGACTATTTATAAAAGTTTTTTTTCCGGCGTTTTTAGCAGTCTTAATCATTGGCAAACATCTTTTCTTAATCTATTTAGACAAAATAAAAAAAATCAAAAACAGACTTCCAAGTTTCGACTAAAAATCATGGATTAACCCCTTTAAAAAACTCCGATATCGCCACACCCAAAATCGACTGAACTCTTTATAAGCATTCTTTTCGCCCTTTTAGCCGTCTTAAACATAGTCAAACATATTTCATTACTCTATTTAGCTTAAAAAACGATCAAAGTCAGGGATAACTGATCCGATGAACAATGCGTGTCCTATCAGTGTAGGTCGTGTGTGCGGGTATCAACATAGCGGCACTGTTCGTGAAGGGTCAGTTGTCTTCACTGTTCTGTTGCATCTTTTCTCCATCACTGTAAGTTAACTCAACAGCAAAGACACTTACGAATGATGTTTTTCACTTCCTGTCTGACATCTTTGATTTTCCAACAGTAAAGGACTGGATTCAGAGATAAATTTAAAAAGAAGACACAAAAGAAAAATCTATGCGCGATTTCTATTTCAGTGGAATAGACTACATTTCCAAAATTCAAAACAAATGTCATCACGATGTAAGGACCATTACAAGCAAGCATAACAAACTGTATCCAAGCTACGCTATACACTGTCTTCTTGTATCGTGATATGTTCAGTACACTTCTTACGCTGCTGGACTGTTCTGGTTGAACATGATTTTGCACTTGGGCTTGTTGATGACGTAGGGTGAGAAAAATCTTAGCGTACGAAAGAGTTGAGATTACTATAGAGACAATGATTAAAGCCAGGAATGCGTACCACGAGGCAAGTAATACCTTAAAACGGAATTGGATCGAAGCCACGCAAGCCAAAGATGCGTTAAAAACAGCAATGAACCAAAAACAAGCCATGATCACACGAACTCGGCATAAAGTTACAACGTGTCTGTATCTCAGCCCCAACAAAAGAGCGAGAAGTCTGTCAACACTAATGGCGGCCGATGTTAGGGTGGATACCACAAGCAACGTTGCAAAGAAAAAGACATGTAGATGCCAAAGATCCAGGGTGTAGTCACTAATATCGAGATAGATTGTTATAATGTAGTAAATGAAAAGTGGTTGAGATATAAGACCAACACAAAGATCAGTTACAGCCAGACATCGAAATAACAGCTTCGTCGGTGGATGAATGGAGGATACATTTCGTAGAGCAAACAGGATCAGCGCATTGCCCAGAGTTGCAGTGATGGAAAGAAAAATGTGCAGGGCTGCTATGAATATCCATATTCCTTCTGGTGTCTTCATTATTACAAATGTCCCATTCGTGTTGTTAGCCACTGGTGTTTTATAAGCTATATGCAAAAGAAACGCCGATTTGAGTTAACGTTCGGTTTCTTCAGCTGCAAAGCTACAGAGCAAGAACATCCTCGGAAAAACAGCTTGTGAACGAAATATTTAATTTACTTGCGATAGATCAGGATAGAATCTAGCAAGTTAAATTAAAGATACTTAGACTCCAAATTCACCTGCTGTTGCATCAAACGTATTTGCTGATTCTTAATATTTTATAGACAGGTTGACTTGTTCAGGGCTATGAGAAATATCCATACTCCGGATAGTATCTTCGTCTTATTACAGATGTTCCATTGGTGTTGTTTGTCATTGGTGTTCAAAGCTACTGCGATTGAGCTTCATGAAAAATAAACGTCGATTAACGTTCTGTTTCTCGAGCTGCAAAGCGACAGACGATGGCTGACTTCCTCCAACAGAACAACTTGTGAACGTAATAACAAGTTTATTTGTAATAGGTATAGACAGGGACTGGAAAGTCAAATTAAAGTTACTTAGACTTTAATTTCACCTGCTGTTGCCTCAGCACCAATCGGCCTCCTAAAAACTGGGCCCAGGGTAACAAACCACAGAGATATGTGGGAGATATGCCGTCATTTCAATTAGAACAAAATATTAAGTAGTCGTTCAGGTTGACAAGCTGACTTCTTTGCCCGCGAAAGAAGTAATTAAGGCATAACGTCAAGAAACGCTTCTCAGACAACCGCTACTTTACATGTAAAATAAAAGTTGACAGAAAACGGTCAAGCATATAGCCATCTCTACTACCACCAAATTTTATTTTTATTCTTATTATCAACATTAACATGTGAAGGGTATGTTGAATTGGGGTCCTTCTAAAAATATCTACGATAACTGGAGTAAAGAATCTTATTCTTTGCTGGATAGAGGAGCTGTTCGTTATAAAAAGGCCTTTTATACCGCTGTTCAACGGTACAAAAAAAACACCAAAGAATGGACTCTCAAGGTGGTTCCACTTACATTGTAATTTTCCACGGCAATACCTGCGATGTTTAAGCATTAACTACGTCGACATCAACAAAAATATCACTGACGTTCAGGATTGGATGCAGACTCAAACTTTACAAAAAAAAACATTTTTTGTTAGCGTCTTCAACGAATTTTATCCTTGACATACTCTGTGTCAAAAATATATGAAAACAAACACCAAAGCTGCATCAGACAAAGATTAAAAATTGTTATTAGCAGAATTATATTGACATCGGAGCTACCATAGCAACGTAATGACATCATCATCTATTTTACTTGCAGTCGTATTTCTTTGCATCAGACATAGATTAAAAATTGTTATTAGTAGAATTATATTGACATTCTTAGCGTCCATTTGTTTTTTAATCGCTCACGGAAGCTTGTACCTAAAATAGCTTCCTCAATATTCGTATCTACGGGAGTGTTATCGAAAAATTTGGGTTGAAGTTTTTATGGTGACAAAGTCAACAACCGTGATGATTGACTGATATCTAAAGCGAACGGAGCAGTTTAGAAACGCGTCTTTTAAAATCTAAAAGGGCAAGTGCCCAAAAGGGGCGCCATACTAAGCCCTTGTTTACCCAAAAAATAGTCACGATAAAGTTGAGACTTATAATTATTGCTTATAAAGCACCTTTAAATTTTACATTTTACCGGTTCAATCGCAGGTGCGTTAAACTATTTCCCACCGGTTGCAAAGAAAGCTTCTGCGGTTATGGAGGTAAAAAAATGTAAATTGTAAATTGCTTGTTTACCCACAAAGCACATAGGAGTTCATATGAACTCGTTTAAACTTGTCCGTGCGTTCCAGATCGAATTGGAATTTGGAAGTGTTGGTTTTTGAGGAGAGGGGAAAACCGGAGAACCCGGAGAAAAACCTCTCAGAGCAAGGGAAAGAACCAACAACAAACTTAACCCACATATGGTGTCGACGCTGGGAGGTGAACCCGGGCCACATTGGTGGGAGGCGAGCGCTCTCACCACTGCGCCACCCTTGCTTTTACTTACCCCACTCCTCTTCATTCTCTTCCACATTTCCATTGTTTTCCCTCCTCCTCCTCCTCCTCTGTTTACTGCATCGTCGCCGAACGGTTAGAGCGCTAGACTTGTAATTCGGAGGTCCCGAGTTCAAGTCCCACCCTGACCGCTGGCTGGATTTGCTCAAATGCTCGGGCACGCTTAAAAAACAGCGAACTGGTTCGCCTCCTACCAGTTTTTAGCTATATTATGTTCCATTTAATTTATTTGTTTCATTATCCCTGAAAAGGCCCAAAAGGGGAGAGGATAATTAAAGTACCATATTATTATAAGGATCGATGTATCGATCGACGTCATCTGCGTTAATGTATTTCCCCCGCACGTCAATGGGATTCCCCCCAAAAAAAATTTACCTGGTGCGCCCTACACTACTCGAGTGCCTTAAACTATTTCCCACCTGGTGCAAGGAAAGCTTCATTTGTCTTCTGCGGCACTGGAGGGGCATCTCCATCTTCACTTGATATTGATGTGCTGCTCTGAAACAAAAGAAAGAAAAACAGAACAGTGTCAGTTATGAACTACCAGCAGTACTAAAAGACTGCGAGAGGTCTCTCTTTTTCTCCCGATTTAGTGAGGGGAGTGCACGCGCACGCGAAAGACAAGCCATGAGACGCGAGAAACGAGGGCGGCAGCCTCTCCCGCCTTCAGTCACACGCGGGAACATTTTCGTCTCTCGTGCGTTTCCCTGGACAGACTAAGAAAACAGAGAGACTCCTCGTAGTCTAAGCCAGCAGTGATTCCACTTCACAAGCTGGCTTCTTGCACCTTCTATAAAAACTTAAAGAGACTAACAAATGAACGATTCAAAAGAGTGCAAGAAAATATAAGTTCATCGCGGGTTCCGAGGATCCGTACTGAATGACTGATTAATGCCTCACGGAAGCTTTTTCAAAACTTTCCAAAGAAAAAGAGGAAATTTCAAAATTGTATCCATTTTAAGCTACAAAAACATTTTCAACCACAAAAAAAATACTTTTACAAACTTGCTGTCTGATGTAAAACTGAGTGGGACTGGGTATGAGCCCTTAAATTCTGAGATTATTAATACAAGGTCTACACAGCTAGAAAAATCACTGAACTTTACAAAATTCCCAAGTTTCTTGTTTGTGAAGATACAGCTACTCAAAAACGAAAATATGAACAAAGAAATGTCTGGATTACCGGACACGTTATCCGGACGATTATTTCTGTTTTTGTTTTCTCAATCACAAAACAAACAAACGCAGACATGACAACATTTCGGTTAAAACCGTCATTACCCCTGTCATCCCTAATATTCACAAACTCACCTACCCCTCCCCTAAGACAACATTTTGCCCAGTGGAGGGGTAGGTGGTCAGTTTCCCAGAAACGTATAGTGATCCTAAATTCTCAAGTCTGATCTCCATCCTTTTTCCTAAAAAAATTAGTGGGGAGAATTTGACAAAAAAAATCAAAGCATTTTCCATTTGGTTGTCATTTTAGTAATTCTCATAACCGTGTCATATGATGATGAATTGAAATTGTTAGGAGGATATTGATGTTGGTCAGCCACTCTTGGGACTGGACAACTCACCAGTAATCTGTGGTTACGAGGCTTTGAAGATGAGTCCGTAGACTTGGAGGACTGGTTAGGACTGTTGCTACCCTTGGTGTCCCTCTGACCGTGCGGCCTTGGAGCCACAGTAGCATAAAGATCTGAAGAAAAAAGTGACACATCACGTCATCGTCTGTTGTTACACGTACAGTGTCAGGGTGGCGGTCACGATGATACTGTCACGTATTCCCAAGTCATTATTCTGGCCAATCACAACAGGCACAGATACTCAAATTAACCAATCACTACAGGGCGCGGGAAAGCGGGTGTGAGCAAATCAAAATTGGTTTTGATTTATTTCTCATTGGTTGAGAAAGTGGCGCGAGATTTTTTTGGCCAATCCACAGCTTAAGGCAATTACAAAATTACTTCCGGCACTCAACAGTACGGTAGTCACAGTAGCTGGGGCTTCCTGCACTGCGAGCATCACATCGAGGGAAGCGAGAAGCTTATAACAAAATTGTCTGGAAACAGGAGCTGATTTAAATAACAGGTTCTTGCTGTAAAGACCAGAAATCACTAGGCAACAAGTTGCAGCAACACTTCGCAGCGGCAAATCGCTTCGTGTCTACTGGAGAATTTTTGCGAAAATCTTTGTCTCCGCAACGAGTCGCACAAAAGCAAATCAGATTAAATACGTGCAAGTTGTTGCAGCGACAAAATTCTGTTGCTGAGACAAAGATTTTCACAAAAATTCTCCAGTACACACAAAAAGATTTGTCGCTGCAACTTGTCAGGCAACTTGTTGCAGCAACTTATCATACGACCCGTACACACGGAGCGATTAGTCGCCGCGAAGTGCTGCAGCGACATGTCGTCTAGTGTGTAGCGACATGTCGTCTAGTGTGTAGCAACCTTAAAAGAAAGAGCTGTAGGACTGAGGATATGGAGTGTTTTGTTACCTATTCCAAGCAACACTTCATGAGCCCCCTCTCGATCGGGCGAAATGCCACCCTCAGTAGTTGGTTTCTCCCTGTCTCCTTTAGGTGGTGGGCGTGGTGAGCCATGTGGTGCTCCTTTAGTTCCATTTTTGACTTCTAACTCAGTGTTTCTACTGTACGCATGCACAGAAGGAGGTGACTCCTTTTTCACTGGCTGTCCCCAATGTCCAACTAACTCATACGAGGGTTCCTTAGGAGGACCAGTACTTTTACCCTCCACAGAATTACCAGTATTTTTCACTTGAGGAGGACCAACAGCGATTTTGACCTCAACAGGCTCAACAGAAACCTCCATTTGACTTCCGGCTACCGGTATCCCTACCAAGCTGTAACTCCCGACCGGATTCCTAGGTGGCTTTTGAGGTAGCAACGCGTGCTGTCCTTTTCCTGATGGCACAGTCCCTGTATTAGGGTGTGGTACTATCGCAGGCTTCTCTATCACGTTAGAGTGTGAATGAACAGTGCCAGCTTCGACTAATAATGAGGAATCTGTTGGTGTATGCCCCACTTTGAAGCCGTCCCCAACATTAGCACCTGGGTCTTCAAATAACTCTGCAGATAAGAGGCTGCGTTTAGGACCAGCAGCTATCTTCTGTCTGTTAGGGACAGTCTTGAAACCTCTGTTGTCATGTTGCGCCCCTGTAGGCTGAAGTAAACTGTTGCCTCGCAAGACCATGTCATCTCGAACATTCGAAGGGCTAGAAGACCTAGAGTGGGGCTTAACTATAAAGAAAAAGACACAGATTCATGTAAAACTAAATATGAATTTCCAAATATTGTAACTGGCTGATTGTAAATTGTAATTTTAAATTGTAAATATCTTATTATCCACTCCCCTCAGGGCTTCTCAGGGATAATTTACAACACTGGTTGGGGGACTTTGCCAGGCTGCTTAGGTGCAGTTTACAAGTAATGAAGGAATGAGTAATGATGCCCCCATACATGAGTGTGAGTGTGATTTGACGTACCATTCAGGTAAAAATATACTTAGACATGTGTAGCCAGTATCTTGTAAACCTTCCCACCTTTAGCGTAATACTTTAAAATTTTTGCAGTCCGTATACTCAGTTAGTACGTACTTGCCTAGATATTTGTTGATTAAAATTTGTTAACTTGTTACCAATTAAACTATATCAGTGAAACAACTAGTATTTAATGATTTCCTGCAAACTTAATTTTCAAAAAATTTCCGTTAAGACTGTATAAAAATTGTACCTTTCGCCACAA